GCTTTAGAGGGAGATTTAAAAGTTAAGGAGATATTAAATGTAGGGATCCAGACGGCAGAGCCAACAAAATCGTCTGTGGTGGATTTGGAAGCATCTGTAAAGATATTGAGCCAACCGTTCCATTTCTCATTAACGATTTTATTAAAAAGTATTCCAGCGTTAGGGTCATCTTTGACAATTCCTAAATTGGTAACAATGTTGGGTTTAAAAATTAGTGCATCAATATCAATTAAAAAGAATGGATTACCAGAGTATTGATTGATAGGGGGGCCGATGAGAAATTTGTTAAAGCTTTTTAAAAGGCATGGAGGGCTCTTATGTTCCCAGTATTTAGAAGTTGTAACAAGGTTCGCTAGTTGAGTCAAGGGGGCAAGTATAATTTTTTCTTGTTAAATTCAAATTTATTCTATTAAACCTCAGCTGTCAACTGTCAAGGAATTTAGCTTTATTATTTTTTGGCTACGGCCTCTTGCATTATGTTGCTTTGTTCATGTTTATATTTTATTTCTACGGCGAGTCCTGATGGTTCGGTGTTGTTTTAGTTATAGTTTGTACGTTGGTTTTTTTTTATATACTATATTTTATTGTATTATTACTCATATATTTTTTAAATTTAATATTATATTTTATTTTTGTGTTAATTAATCGAACATAATAATATGGATGTTACTTTAGGGATAAATGATGGTTTTTACTCGTGCTCCTCATCTCCAAGCCATTTTCTTAGTGCTGATGACAGTAATGATTCCATAGCTTTGACTCTGCATGATCAGTTATCTTCAGCCTTCTGCAATTTCCCCAAAAATTTCAATGTTGTTTATATCAATGCTCAAAGCGTCCCCTCTCACTATTCTGACCTTCTTGCTTCTTTCATAGATTCTCCTGTTGACGCTATTCTTACATCAGAAACTTTTCTAAAACCTTCTCTTCCTTCTACTCATTTCAGTCTTCCCGGATTTAAGCTCGCTCGGAATGACAGGACAGATAAAAATGGTGGAGGGGTGGCAGTATATCTGCGAGCTGATATTCAACATGTTGTTGTTGATGCTTCTCCTAACTTATATTCAAACTCCGCGGAGCACCTATTTTTAAACATTTCCTTGCATCACAAGAAAGTGCTCCTTACAGTTTTTTATAGCACCTCCCTTAATATCGACTACTTTCAGTCCCTTGAGTGTCTACTCTCCGACCATTCTCCTTCCTTTGATCATACTATTTTAATGGGTGACTTTAACACGTATTTACTAAAAAATGACACTCGTGCCCATAAATTACTTTCTCTAATTTCTTCTGTCAACTTGCATATTTTACCTTTGTCTGTTACTCATCATTTTCCCAACTGCATTCCATCTCTTCTTGATCTTATGATAGTCTCGTCCCCTGAGCATTGTGCTTCCCATGGACAGTTCTCTTCTGTTTTTTCTTATCATGATCTTGTCTTTCTCTCGTATAAAATTCGTTTTCCTAAGTGTAAGTCGAAATTTCGTATTCTCCGAAATTTCAAGGCCATTGATTTGGAGTCGCTCAAGAGTGAGGCGGGTAATATTGACTGGACTCCTGTGTTGGACTGCGTAGTTATTGATCAGAAGGTAGCTTTGCTCAATGAAATTATATTAAGGCTTTATGATCGTCATGCGCCTTTAAAACGGGTTAAAATCAGACATGCACCTGCCCCCTGGTTATCACAAGATATTAAGATCGCTATGGCTCTCAGAGATAAGGCGAAACGACGCTGGAAGAGGCTTCCTACAGATGACAACCTAGCTCGTTTTAAATACCTGCGTAATCGCTGTAGTCGCTTGTGTAGAGATGCTAAAAGACGGCACATTCACGATAACGTTGAGAAATGCGATTCCACTCAGATCTGGAAATTCCTAAAGTCCATTGGGATTGGTCGTTCCACTGCTTCTGGTGATTCGTCTCTTCCTGATCTTAACGCGCTTAATAGACATTTTTCCCTACCCCCTGTTACTTTAGATAAGCATCGTAAAAGCGCTACCCTTCGCATTTTGGCTGACTATACTTTACCGGCATGTACCTCTTTCTCCTTCCGGACTGTTACCGAATGTGAGGTCAAAACCCATATTCTCTCTATTTCTTCTACTGCTGTTGGCAATGATGATCTCAGTTCCCGTATGATTAGCCTCATACTCCCTGAACTTGTCCCTATTCTTATTATTTAACTGCTTCCGTGGCCGAACGGTTACCATGCCGGACTGCCATGCAGAGGTCCTGGGTTCGATTCCCAGGCCGGGAGAAATATGTGTATGGCCTACATTTATTTCTCCCGTGAGTTTGGGTGTAATTTGTGGTTGTCTATGTGTCTGTCCATGGCACCCGCGACACAGGGTTTCCCTAGTGCGGGGCTATGTTGAGTGTGTGCGTTATTATTATTATTATTATTCTCACTCATGTTTTTAACTTCTCTTTAGAAGCTAGTTCTTTCCCTTCTCATTGGAAACTCGCCCATGTTATACCTTTACCCAAAACGTCTAACCCTACTTGCCTTTCCGAATTCCGTCCCATCTCCATTCTCCCATTTCTATCCAAAGTCCTCGAACACATTGTCAACAAGCAATTAATGTTGTATCTTTCTTCTAATAAGTTGCTTTCCCCGTTTCAGTCAGGTTTTCGTTCTGGCCATAGCACTGTGACTGCACTGTTGAAGGTAACAGATGATATTCGCCTTTGCAATGGACAATGGTCTTCTCACTTTGCTTATACTTCTGGACTTCAGCAGTGCTTTCAACTCTGTGGACTTTGACGTATTGCTTGCTTCCCTTCGCTCTTTTAATATTTCTCCTTCGGTTATAGCTTGGTTCGGCTCCTACCTCAGAGGCCGCTCGCAGTGTATTCGCTCTGACGAGGCTTCCTCTGATTGGTGTGACTTAGTTGCTGGCGTTCCTCAGGGTGGTGTTCTTTCCCCTCTCCTTTTCTCTGTTTTCATCAATTCTGTCACTTTTGTGCTGTCTTCAAACTTTCATCTCCATGCTGACGATTTGCAGCTATACTGCAGTTTTAAAGCGTCTGATGTCGTTGCAGCCGTTGAAGCGGTTAATGCTGATTTACGAAGCATCGCTCATTGGGCTGAGTGTTTTGGTTTGTTGGTGAATCCCAAAAAGTCACAGGCTATGATTGTGGGAAGTGGGTATATGCGTGGCATATTGCAACTAGATTCTGTCCCACCTATAGCGTATAATTCCACGCCTATTGCTTATGCTTCTACTGCAACTAATCTTGGCTTGCTTTTAGATGGTAATTTGGTTTGGACTCCACATATTAATGAAGTCAGTCGTAAAGTCCATTTCTCCTTGCACTCACTTAAGCGCCTCCAAAACGATTTACCTTTAAAAACCAAAATATCTTTAGTCCAAACACTTATTTTGCCCTTCTTAGACTATGCTGATTCCTGCTATTTGGATGCTACTGAAGAACTGCTAAATAAGCTTGAACGACTGCAAAACCTATGTATAAGGTTCATCTTTGGGCTTCGTAAATATGACCGAATTTCACATTTCCGCAGTCAGCTCAAATGGCTTCCCATCCGTCTCCGCTGGAATTTGCATATTGTCTCCATTCTTTACAATATTTTACATAACCCTATGTCTCCCGGGTACCTGAAAGCGCCTTTCAGCTTCCTTAGGTCCCAGGATAAACCCTGTCGCTCTCTTGTTAGGTCCCAGTTATCTTTTCCATGCTTCAATTCCGGTTTCTATTCTCACTTCTTCACTGTTCATGCGGTCAGACTTTGGAATGCACTTCCTATTACTGTTCACGAAAGTAAATCGTTAGCTATTTTGAAAGTGAGAGTTAAAGAGCATTATTTATCTACTATTCCATCCATATTTTAGGTATTATATTATAAAATATGTATTTATCTAAGTATTTATATAATTTATAACAATTTAATATTTTTATATTATTTTTATTATTATTTTTTCCTTGTTTTGTTGTGCACATATGCCCGTTCTTTTAGTTATAGTGTCCTGTATTTAGGTCTGCAGGAAGAAATTTCTATTAGAAATAAGCAGAACCTTTTGTTTTTAATTTCGCTTAAATTATTTGTGACTTGTTGTATTTTTCCTGTACAATAAACTATTAAATAAAATAAAATAAAAACATCTGGTGTTCTACCTAACTTATATGCTTTGATATTTTTTGGCTTGATAGCATGTGTGTATTTTAAGTACAACGTCATCTGTTAGCGGCAATCAATCTTATGTTAAATCAAGCGGAAGGTCTAACTACCACACTCTTACCGCATCGGGGCGTATGGCGCCACCTTATTGGAGAAATTATAGTAGGCGCGTTATCGCTCAAGGTCATCGACGCTTGTCAGCGTCTTAAGTATTTTTATGGAATGATGTCATTGACTTTATAATTGTAAGTCAATGAATGATGTGTGTAGTTGTAATTGGGTGTCAGTTTTATAGTGCTGTCAATGTTTTTGTATTATGTTATGTGATGTCTGTAACTGTATACCAATGAAACAAAAATTAAATAAAATACATGTATATAACTCTGTGGGGAGGTGTAGGTACGTTGATCTACAAGTAAATCTCATATTATCATATTGTTTTTAATATTAGCTAATTATTTAGCAAAAGAACAATGTTAACACTTTACTACTTTTACCGTGTCCACTGAATAAACGCGAAGTATGTGCAAATAAAACGGTCATTCAAGTTCACCATTGACAATTAAGTATAATAATATAAAATAAACTACTCCGATTTTGAGTTTATTACGAAAACACTGTGTTCGGGGAATACCCTCGTTTAGATTTGTTGGTTATGTTGGGTAAAATAAGGATTATTTTAACACCACATTGCCTTGCATACGGAAAGAATTAGAACTAAAATGGCATCATACATGGACAGTTCCCCGTTCCCCGCAACTCTGCCCTTGTCTACATTATAGCGCCATTACAAATTCCTCGTGTAAATTGGATGCACTATCTATTGTATTTGTACCATTTATCGCGCTTTATCGGTTGCTCCGGTCGGTTCTAGATAGTTGTGACGATTGCATGTACCTGTTTAGAGGCTACATTGCATAACAGTGTCACTCATATTTACAAATTGGCTCGTATTGCGACACATTTCGTGTTTTATTTTGAGTGATTTAAACAGTGATCCTAGTGTTTAAAAGTGTTCACAGGATTTTCGGTGGATTAGTCATCGACAATGTGAGTTAGTTAAGCATTTACTTTGTTTTAAGAATCTATTCGTATGTTTAGCATTTATGTATTATTTACACTTTTAAGTTAATCGTCTTGATGTTCCGAATTCCGGCTGGTTGTACTTGGCTGATGTGCCTATATAAAATTATAATGTCATTATTACAGATTCGACATGGCGTCAGCAAAGCCAAATAGAAAGTGAGTATTTATTTTATTTTACATAATATGATATGACTTACTATTTTGAAAAACATTTAATACCTAACGTCTATGCGAGAAAATCTGAAGCTTTACAAAGTAAAAAATTCAATAACTAATGATAATAATCGTATTTCCAATAACTTGGTAAACCGGGAGATGATATTATAATATGTTGTCAACTTACTATGAAACGATACGTTGTTAACATACTTAACCTACCATAAAATAACGAATTGTAAAGTAAAGCTAAACCTAACCGGGTATGGTTAAGAGAATGAGGCTTGCTTAAGCTTAAGACTGGACTTTGGGTACCTAATTCTTATCATTATTTACCTACCGCAAACTAAATCCCACGTTTCATTTCTCAAGCAAATTTTCTATGGCGTTTAAAAGTGATAGAACAACCACTCAAGTTCTTTTTTTTCCATACAAGTCTTGTAATGACACTTATAGGTTAGTCCGTATACTTTACTTACACATAAGTATTATGTTTTGATTACTGTTTTACCCATTGATTTGAAAATTGCCAGTAAGTCTTAAAATACACCACAAAGCTACGTGATTGTTACTTGACCCTTTTGGTGTCACCACATTTATCGACACGGAATCTCAATTCTGGAAAAGGGCGTGAAACGCGTCAGCGATTCGAACAGAAGCGAAAAACGTGCTTTTCGCCTTTATAGCATGCCCTGGGGGCCTACTATGAGCTTATAAGCAGCCAGGCAAGTTCCATGCAATTCACTTGACGTGGTAAAACTGAATTACTTAAATTCGTATCATGACCTACACAAAGTTGAACGGGAATGGCATGTAACGATGCGGGACTTTGAATGATACTAATCATTCGAATGGGCAAATCATTCGAACAAGTCGAATCCAAGCACAATCATTCGACTCGAGTTGAATTGTTTATCAATACCGAATGCCTTAAGTCGGTTGGGTGCACGAGTCGAATTATTATTATATCGGAACACCTAATTCATCATGTCCATACCACAAAATATCCCTGTCCCCGCCACATTTACAGTGTTTACCATATGTCGGAGAGGGCTAGATGATCACGAGCAGAAATGCTCTATGGAATCTATGGATTTCTACTACTAATTAGTAATGAATGATCATTCAAATCATTCGAATACGAAAATTAGTAGGTTACTAATTTGACATTCGAATGCATTGAAAAAAAATGTCCCAAGTCAACCTATTTAAACGTAGTGACATGTAAAGGAATATGAAAAAGCTAAAACGTTAAATTTAAATTGTAATGTCATCGCAGTACTGTATAATTTTGCTTGCTTCGCTGTCAGTCGAACAAACGAAGACTAAAGCTTGAATGACGCTCTGTATACGTTTTTAACGCCCTATAAGTTCGGACACTTTTTAGCGCGGACCCGACGTCCATATAATTGTAAGTCAATGTTCGAATGACAGTATTAGCGATTACTAACGTGTCGAATGTTGAAATCATTCGCAATCGCGCATCGCTAATGTCATGACCACGGACTTGTATATTAAACTGGACCGCGCACTAAGTTAATAAAACGATCCGAGTGAGAGGCTTTAAAGTTGTAATGCATCTCTTTCTAATGTATTGTTTTTAATTTTTTAATTTTTACAGAAAATGTGGCCGCCTATAGATGACCAAAACTACTAATATTATTTCATGATACAAATTAGTATACTTATTTGATATGCTACTTAATAATAGAACATTTCATTGCTGATATATTTTTTTGTATTTTTACAGTAAAAGCATATTACTTTTAAGCTAATTTTATTGAACCAAAATTTAAAAAGTTTATAGACTAGAAGTGTCTAGTCTATACTCTAGCCAAACTCGATGTAGAAGATTCGCTCTGGACCTTTTGGAGGGAAAAGTTACGTTTTTATTTTGACTTTCAATTATTTTGTGAAATCTAGTTTAAAGTGGAATAGGATAGTGCTATTGTGCCTTAATCGCAGATTAAAACGCGAAATTATACGAATCTCGAACTAGAATACCCGTAGCGGCCCGTTTTAAGGAATCCCGAGTCAATCCAAGCACGCCGCCTCAAATTGCCTATCCTCTTTGTGGCGGCCATATTTACAGAAACATAATTAAACTTCATGTTTAGGCTGATGGCTTTGCCAAAGCCTTAATAAATTAAAAAAAAAAAAAAAAAAAATCGATGTAGAATGTTTAATAACAAAGCGTTGCTAGGCAACCAATGATGGCTGGTGTGAAGAACCTTTTTTGTCTATGCTCTTTACTTTAGGCCTCTACGTTATTATTTTTAGAGTTTAGGCTAACTCTGCCCATAGCCTGCTGCGTAATTGGAATTTAGATAGGTAAGAGATTGTGCAGAAGTAATACTTACATAGCCAATTAAATGAAGTTTGCAAAGTACTTATTGATACGTATGATGAATAAGTTTCAAGTTTTTGATATCTATTTATACTTACTGTTAGATCAGTGTTGGGCAAAGTACGGCCCGCGAGTCTACTCTGGCCCGCAAAGGGCTATAATCCGATATCCGCCAAGGTCAATCAACTTTTTTACAGACACCACGCAACGTAGTGAATGTGTAAAAAAATAAACAGAGGCTTTGATAATCCTAATCTGAATAGGCTAGTTGACTCTTTTTTGAAGTAGGTCTAAAATGATTAAAAATTGTTCAATTAAAGCAAAAAAAATGTTACCATATTTTTTTGAGACCTAGGTAACCGCAAAACTTAATTTAATGATTTTACTTTTCATACACAGGCGAAAACGCTGTCGGCCATATTAGTCTATAGATTATCTGTGCTGTGACGTCATTGTGCACATAAACAATCATTTGACCTCTGACAAACATTCACCGTTGTGTTAGCACTAAGTTTTTATTAAAAACCATGACTTCCACTAGTTTATACGAAAAGTATAGTAATTATCGTTATTGTATTGTACGAGAATGCAAAAACACATCAATAAAGACCCCAGGAAAGTTATGGATTAGCGTACCCAAGGAAATAAACATGCGAAACACCTGGCTAAAACTTGCTAATAAGGAACCAGATTCATTTTCGACTGAAAGTAACATTTATTTTTGCGAAGATCACTTTGACGTAAGTACTTACTTAATATCTTAATCAGTTTCTACAGAAACTTTATATTTAGTTTAAAAAATACAAGTTTTATGGTTATGTACCAAGTCAATGAACAAAATACTAATTTTGTTGTTATTTACCTTTCAGTTAGAAAATGACATGGAAAATTACACGCGGTATAAAATAATGGGTTCTGTTAAAAGGATCCGAATGAAGCCCAGTTGCATACCCTCCAGATTTGACTGCCAAACAGCTAGAAAACGCAAACCTACTCCACCAACAGATGAGCATGCAATGCAACAGCATGCTTCCAAGAGAACAGCATTGGTGCCTGTATCAGGAGATATACAAATCCAGTCCATAGAAATGCCAATATCATTGTTTCATAAAGGTAATATGAGTATGTTTTAATAAAGCAATAAATAGCTCTTTGCGAGTGGATCATAAAATTTGTTTAAACAACTATATTAATTGTTTTCAGAGTTACTCAGTGAAGAAGATGCCATACCTACGTGTACTTCTCATGAGAAGGAGTTTCATGACAAGGCAGTGCAAGTAGTACAGCATAACATTCAGTTCTATGATCAAGCAGTACAAGTTCAACCATTACATGAACATGTATCTTGTCAAGTAGTACAACATCGTGCTCACAAATTGATTCAAGCATGTGTTGCAAAACATTATAGAAGTAAACAAGTGCAATTCAATGTGGCTGTGAAAGATACTGTATCATCACCAATACAACTGTTTGCTCATCAATCAACTTCAACATCACCTAATAAGCCGTCTATGTCTGGTCATTCGTCAACAAGAAGAAAACTAATTTTTACTGAGGAAAAATATGACAGTGATGTATCTTATACATTATCTCAAGAAGGATCAACCTTTGACTCATCTCCGTCAAAACCATCAAGTCAAACTACTGAAGACAGTTCACAGGAAAAGATTATAAAAGACCAGAAATTAAATTTACAGAGTACCCTATCTAAGATAAAGAAAAATCCTAGAATGTATATTGGGATACCAGCAGAGCTTTATTTTATAGTTGATATTATTTCAAAACACACACAACAATCAGAGAATCATATTTTATTATGCTTAGTGAAAATAAGATTAAATAGAACCTTTTCTCAGTTAGCAGATGATTTTGATATTTCACTGTCTCAAGCAAGTAAAATCTTTTACAGTAAATTACCTTCCATTGTTAATGTTTTATTGCCTTTCATAAAAACATTCACTAAAAGCACAATTAAAAAAAACTTGCCCATAGCATTTCGCCATAAATATAATAAGGTAAATTGTATTATAGATTGTTTAGAAATAGAGATTCAAAAGCCAAAAAAAGCTACTCATCAGGCACTGACTTGGTCAGAGTATAAAAAAGCTAATACCTATAAATACCTCATATCATGTACACCTGATGGATTAGTCAGCTTTGTGTCTAATGGATATGGAGGCAGAATCAGTGACGTTAATTTACTTGAACACTGTAAATTTCTCGATAGTTTGGAACCAAGATCTTTCATTTTAGCAGACAGAGGTTTCAAACACATAGAAATATATTTAAAACAAAGAGGTTTTACTTTACTAAGGCCTCCGAGTGTTACTGTTGGGTCAAAATTGACCAAAAGTGAAAGTAAACAAACAAAAGAAATTGCTAGCCTCCGAATTCATGTGGAAAGAGTGATTAGAAGAATTCGCGAGTTTTCAATTCTGAAGCCACACTCGGTAGTTAATTTAAATTTATTACATATACTAGATTTCTGTGTAATCACAGCCTGTGCTCTCATAAATTTACAAGACTCACTTATCAAATAAAATATCATGATTCAAAATTCAAAATTATTTTATTCAGTTTAGGCTACATATAGCTCTTGTGAACCTCATTATGCCATCGGTTCGTAAGTCTACTCTGGGCAGGAGATCTTGTA